TGCTTGAACCCAGGAGGCGGAGGTTGCGGTGAGCCGAGATGGTGCCATTGCACTCCAGCCTGGGTTCAAGCAATTCTCCTGCCTCAGCCTCCCGAGTAGCTGGGACTACAGGCGTGTGCCACCATGCCCAGCTAATTTTTGTATTTTTAGTAGAGACAGGATTTCACCATGTTGACTAGGATGGTCTCGATCTCTTGACCTCGTGATCCACCCAACTCGGCCTCCCAAAGTGCTGGGATTATAGGCGTGAGCCACCGCGCCCGGCCAAACCTTTTCTTTACCAATAACAAAATCTTAGTTTTGCTTGGAGATCTCTAATAATAATAGTAATAGCAGAAAACTTTATGGAAAGAAACTTATTTTTCAGCTGGGCAAGGTGGCTCATGCCAGTAATTTCAACACTTTGGGAAGGTGAGGCTGGAAGATCACAGGAGTTCAAGACCAGGCTTGGCAATATAATGAGACCTCGTCCTAAAAAAAAAAAAAAAAAAGAGAGAGCGAGAGACATTTCATGTTGTATATCTTTTTATATTGTATTCTGTTGCTTTTTGTCTATATTTTAAAGGCAGTTTAAAATATGCTGACTGTTTAATATGTATTAGGAAGGGTGATAGACCTCATTTTATCCTCAGATGAAGAAACTGGCCCCATAATGACTTTAATGACTTGTTTGAAGTTATTTATTTAGTCTATAGAAAGAGTAGAAATAAAAATGTTCAGCCTGGCATGGTGGCTCATGCCTGAAATCCCAGCACTTCGGGAGGCTGAGGTGGTAGGATCATGGTGTCAGGAGTTCAAGACCAGCCTGGCCAAGATGGTAAAACTCCGTCTCTACTAAAAAGGCAAAAATTAGCTGGGCATGGTAGCAGGCGCCTGTAATCCCAGCTACTCAGGAGGCTGAGGTAGAGAATTGCCTGAACCTGGGAGGGGGAGGTTGTAGTGAGCCGAGATCTCACCACTGCACCCCAGCCTGGGTGACAGAACGAGACTCCCTCTCAAAAAAAAAAAAAAAAGAAAAAAATGTATACACCAAGGTGACTACAGTTCATTAACAACAGATTGTAAAGGGGAAAATTGCTAAGAGAGTAGATTTTAAGTGTTCTCACTACCAAAAAATGTAAAGTATATAGAGGTAATGCATATGTTAAAAGCTCGATTTTACCATTCTAGAATGTATATGTATGTCAAAACATCATGTGGTACATCATAAATATATACAATTGTTATTTGTCAATGAAAAAATAAAATACCTCATAATTTTCATTTGAGTCATACTTTATTACCCAACAAACTAGAAAACACTGATTTTTGTTTTTTGTTGTTGGGGGTCAGGGTCTCGCTCTGTCACCCAGGCTGGAATGCAGTGGCCTGATCTCTACTCACTGCAGCCTCTGCCTCCTGGGCTCAAGGATCACTTGAGTTCCAGACCAGCTTGGCCAACATGGTGAAACCCCATCTCTACTAAAGATACAAAAAATTAGCTGGGTATGGTGGTGGGCCTTTGTAATCCCAGCTACTCGGGAGGCTGAGGCAGAATCGCTTGAACCCAGGAGGCGGAAGTTGCAGTGAGCCGAGATTGTGCCACTGCACTACAGCCTGGGCCACAGGGCAAGACTATGTCCCCCCAAAAAGAGAAAGAAAATATAGAGGATAATGCTAAATATTCCACCTAATAGGTGTGTGACATTCCATAAGTTTTGAAGTATTGGTTTTGGATTTTGCCATCAGGGAACAGGTAACCTCATTTTAAAACTTTCTAGGTTTATGTTGTTTATACATGCATTATTTTGTTGAGATTCTTGAGAGTTCAGTGCTGTAGGAATGAATAAACATGTAGCCTTTCTATGTATACTATTCAATATCTTTTTTTTTTTTGAGATGGAGTCTCATTCTGTCACCCAGGCTGGAGTCCAGTGGCAAGATCTCGGCTCACTGCAACTTCTGTCTCCCATGTTGAAGCAATTCTCTTGCCTCAGCCTCCCCAGTAGCTGGGATTATAGGCATGCACCATCATGCCCAGCTAATTTTTTGTATTTTTAGTAGTGACAGGTTTCACCATATTGAGCAGGCTGGTCTCAAACTCCTGACCTCATGATCTGCCTGCCTCAGCCTCCCAAAGTGCTGGGATTACCGGGGTGAGCCACCGCAACCGGCCTACTATTCAACATCTTTTTTTTTTTTTTTTTTTTTCGGGACAGAGTCTCACTCTGTCACCCAGGCTGGAGTGCAATGGTGTGATCTTGGCTCACTGCAACCTCCGCCTCCCAGGTTCAAGCAATTCTCTTGCCTCAGCCTCCTGAGTAGCTGGAATTACAGGCATGTGCTATTGCACCCAGCTAATTTTTGTATTTTTAGTAGAGACAGGGTTTCAACATGTTGGCCAGACTGGTCTTGAACTCCTGACCTCGTGATCCACCCGCCTCGGCCTCCCAAAGTGCTGGGATCACAGGCGTGAGCCACCGCGCCTGGCTCAACATCTTGATAATCAAGCCTGGAATGTCACGCTACATTTAGACACCTTTAATAAATATTTGTGAAATAAATAAATGAGTGAATGACAACTGATATTAACTTTTTCAACTTTAGCAACTGGCATTGAGTCTCTGAATGCAGCTTATCTTATGAACTCTCTCTCTGAGGCTGACCATGTCCTGTTAAATGAAGTTAAATGAAGCCTAAGTCCAAATTTTGGCTCTGCCTTTACTAGCTAAACAATCTCAGGCAAGTCACCTAACAGCTCCAGGCCCTCTTTCTTCTCTGTAAAACAGAGTTAGAAATAGTTATCTACCTCATACAGCTATAGTGAGGAGTAAGTACATTTATATGCTAAAGAGCTTAGAACCATGTCTAGCCCCTAAGTCTACACAGTTCTTGGCTATTATTATTAGTTTCTTCTAGGGTTCATTCTATGTTTCCAGTTTTCTGTATTTTCTTTTTCATATTACTTTAACAATGGAAAAAAATAGGCCAGGCATGGTGGCTCACACCTATATAAAGCCCAGCACTTTGGGAGGCTGAGGCGGGCGGATCACAAGGTCAGAATTTCGAGACCAGCCTGGCCAACATGGTGAAACCCTGTCTCTACTAAAAAAAATACAAAAATTAGGCCAGGTTTGGTGGCTTACACCTGTAATCTCAGCACTTTGGGAGGCCGAGGCGGGCGGATCACCTGAGGTCAGGAGTTCAAGACCAACCTGCCCAACATGGTGAAACCCTGTCTTTATTAAAAAAAAAAAAAAAAAAAATAGCTGGGCATGGTGGTGGGCGCCTGTAATCCCAGCTACTCAGGAGGCTGAGGCAGGAAAATTGTTTGAACCTGGGAGGCAGAGGTTACAGTGAGCTGAGATTGTGCCACTACACTCTAGCCTGGGTGACAGAGTGATACTCAGTCTCGGGGAAAAAAAAACAAAACAAAAAATTTTTTTCCAGATATACTTTATTTCTGAGCACACTGCCAGCTCTCACCAGCTATCTCTGGCACTTAGATATTGGTAAATTTAGTGCCAAAGCAGGATTCATGTCACTTGCCCACGATCAAAGTGCACGCACCTGATATCAGCAACCATGTGCGTGCACATGTAGCGGCTGAGGATACAGAGCCACCAGTCAACTCGGCTCCCTCACAGGCATTTCCAGACTAGCTCCCAACATGTCCTAAGGCATCTCTGATCACACCACTTCCCATCATATCAGATACCTCGAAACAGAAACCAGAGGATTAACACGATGAGCCATTTTCCTGGGTTCATAATGAGAATATCTTTTGTAAGTGGAATAATTCAACAGTAATCTTCAGTCCTCTCTTCTCTCACAATGTGATGGAGATTATAGAAGAGTAAAAGCAGCTTTCTTTTTCTCCCTGGGGTAATGGAAGTATTGGACTAATCTTTCCCACATTGATCAGTGACTCTCAGCTGCACATTACAATCACCTGGGGAGCTTTTAGAAATACCAAAACTTGGGCCCTATTTCATTGGAGTCTCTGGTTGAGGGACAGACATTGTGTGTTGGTTTCTTTGTTTGTTGTGGTGGTTGTTTTGTTTTTAAGTCTCAACCTTGTTTTTGGCGAGGGTGGAGAACCACTGGCATAGAGGGTTTTGGCGTTTCCTCAGTATAGCCTCAAACTTGGGCCCTGCTGAGTCTTTTGCAAAGAGGGTTATTCACATCAGTGTGTAAAATGGAACACCAGGAAAAGGTACCAAGAACTACATTCTAGGCTAATTGCATTTGAGGCTGTTTGGACTGAAGGAAAAAATATGTAAAGCAACAGAATTGCAATAAAGTAACAACGATGCCATTATAAGAGCTACTGATGCTGGGCACCGTGGCTCACGCCTATAATCCCAGCACTTTGAGAGGCTGAGGCGGGCGGATCACCACATCAGGAGGTTGAGACCAGCCTGGCTAACGTGGTGAAACCCTGTCTCTACTAAAAATACAAAAAATTAGCGGGGTGTGGTGGCATGCGCCTGTAGTCCCAGGAACTTGGGAGGCTGAGGCAGGAGAATTGCTTGAACCCAGGAGGCGGAGGTTGCAATGAGCCAAGATCATACCACTGCACTCCAGCCTGGGCCACAGAGTGAGACTCCATCTCAAAAAAGCAAAAACAAACAACAAAAAAAGAGGTACTGATAAATATTGAGCACTTCCTATGTGCATGCACTGTACTAAGCATTTGATATTTTATGCATAC